ATGGGTGGATGGATGTTCCTATGGACAATTAGATGAATGAACAGATGGAGAGAGATGAATGGACAGATGGATGGCTAGATGGCTGAGGCCACACACTAAATGTTAAATTGCTTCCCTCCCGAAGGTGGCAGATAACAATTGCTTCAGCTCTGCCTGGCACCACATACATTAGCACGGCCGCGGGGGGCCGGAACACTGCAGCCTTCGCAATCTGCTCATTAGCTGGCTCGCGGAGCTCCTCACCTATTCAAAGCCAACAGGGTAGCAGCGTGACATTTAAGATTGCCTTTCAGCAGTCGCTTGCTTGGCCTTTCACAGAACACGGCGCGCAGCTGCTCGCTGGCTGGCCTTCTCCTCTGGAGGCGCTTTCAAGACCCCCACGTGCAGTAATGGGCCCGCTCTCCCGGGACTATGGGGGCTGTGCCCTAAGAAGTTGGGGCGCCTTCCCCCTAACTGTCTTGCTGCATTCTCTCCCTGCAGCAGGGCCAGCTATTACCTTCATTACCCTTCACTTAGGGGATTTAATTTGTAATGTGATGTCGAAGAAGTGTCGGAGAAAGCGTTTCCCTGGCAACCAAGTTTTTAAACACGAGATTCTCTGGGTTTTAAAAGCCACTTCTCATCTAATTTCTCCCCTGAAAATTAGCTCAGAACTTTTCAGATGCTGAAGTTTTTAGCATAACAGCAGGCTAGCACTTCTGTCTGAAACCATAGAGGCCTCCATTTGTCCCCTGCCAGAGGCAAGGCCCTGGGAAGTTGGTTGGTTTCCTCCGCCACCTCATTCCCGGCCCATCAGCAATGGCCATTATGAAAGGACCACGGCGAGGCCAGCGGTGGCTTCCCAGCTGCAGTCAGTCAAGCTCCTGACGCCAGCCTGTTCTGTGGACTGGGGGGCCCCAGGTCCCCGCTGGCCGTGAGCGTCGGTGGACACCCCGAGACAGCCAGGTGGGCTGGGCCTCTTCTCACTGACAGCTCTGGGCCCATCTCCCCAGGCTAAGAAGGACGGTGCCAACCAGCACCCCAAAATGGAAGGCATACAATTTCAGGGTCTACTCCGGGTGGAAGTTGCGCTCACTGGGTACCTCCATCACCAACAAGCTTTCTACCTCCCTGTGCCAACAGAACCGGGCCCAGCTGAGCGACCTGGCCTGGCTTCTCCTCACTGTGCCAGCGGGGCCCTCTCTCCTCTTTCCCTCATCCACACCCTTTACTCTGACCAAGCCACACCTCCATCTCTTCGACCATCTACACAGCATCTACCCGCCACCCCACCCCACCCCCACCCACCGCAAACACGCTCTGCCCTCGACCCTCCCTGGTCCTGGTCCTGCACTTTGCCCTTTAGCTCTGGCTTCCAAAGGGGTCGCCATGTAATGAGCTCTGCACCCCATCCTGACCCCCCCCCCCCCCCGTCCTCTGAACCTTTGAGGCAGTCTGTCCGCACCTCTGGGAGCGCCCAGCTTTGCGGCTCCGTCAGCCCAGCCATTACTTTGTCCTGGAGACACAGGGGATAGTGGGGAAACCAGGCCACGCGCCTTCAAACCCTGGCTCTCCCAGCTCGGCAGCGGCGTGGCCTTGGTGGGAAGATGGAGGTGTGGACCGAGGATGGATGCCGAGCTGACGGCTGACTGGGCCTACAGAGATTAGACGGGCACCTGGGAGCAGGTCGGATGGTCCACTGGATAGATGTGTACATGGATGGAAGTGTGTGGAGGCATGGATGGTTGGAAGGTCTAAGAATCGGTAACTACATGGAAGGGTAAAGGGCTGGATCAATGGAAGGAAGGGAGGGAGGGAGGGAGGGAGGGAGGGAGGGAGGGAGGGAGGGAGGGAGGGAAGGAGGAAGGAAGGAAGGGAGGGAGGGAAGGAGGAAGGAAGGGAGGGAGGGAGGGAGGGAAGGAGGAAAGAAGGGAGGGAGGGAGGGAAGGAGGAAGGAAGGAGGAAAGAAGGGAGGGAGGGAGGGAGGGAGGAAGGAAGGGAGGGAGGGAGGGAGGGAGGGAGGGAAGGAGGAAGGAAGGGAGGGAGGGAGGGAGGGAAGGAAGGAGGAAGGAAGGGAGGGAGGGAGGATGCAAAGCACCCAGCTCCCCAGGCAGAATTACAGTCTGGGGCGGGGCGGGGGGGGGGGGGCAGACCAGGACCAGCACGGGAACCTGTGGGTTCTCACCGCAGGAAATATTGCTCCTGATAACTCGAGGCTTGAAGGTTTCAGTGACCCCGGGAAAGGGACAGGGACTCCTGTGGGACCCATTCATTAGAGGATCAGGTCCTCTAAGCACTTTGGCCAACTCCGCATGCCGGGCAGCCAGGGCGTCCAACCGCTATTCACTGGGAAGAGACGGATGGGTCTTGGAGAGCGGCCATCGGGGAAGCGTGGCCGGCCGGGGAGCACAGCGTTTGCTTGCAGAGCGTGCCCTCTCCCGCAGCAGCCGCAAAGGTTGCTGGATCAAGTCAACTCAAGGCCACTCGAGTTATAACCCCTTCCTGGGAGTCAACTCACCATGAAGCAGGGAGACCTGTTGATAGAGGACCCTCCCCTGGAGCTGTTGGGGGCTGAGTGAGAACAGGGCTCTCTGTACCACCAGGAGGCCATCGAGGTGCTGTCCCGTTCCAGGAAGGACAGACCTCAGTAGACGTGGGTCAGACACACTCGTGGCCACAGGAAGGTGCAAACACTCCACTTGCCATTGGGTCTCCATCCCAGCCTGTGGGCCTGTTCCAACTTGGGGGGGGGCAGACTCCGCCGGGGTGGCTGGGGGGGGGGGTGCCCGGCACAACCCCAGGTGGCGCCGCTCACACAGACCATGGGGACGGGTTCAAAGCTTTATTGTGTGCGTGTATGTGTGTAGGGGCGGGGGGGGGGGGTGAGGGGGGGCTCTGATTCCTGAATGCTACACCTAAAAGACAAACCAAACTCCTAACCTAACTCAGAACCTTGAGCTGTTAACACCACTGTGTCTACTTCCTCCCTCAGCCTCCCTCCCCGAGAGGCCGGGGGATAAAGAAGGGGTGAGAGCTCACTTCTCCTGAGTGCTTAGCCAGGTGTGGGCACATCAGGGTGCTCAGTAAACACCCGCCATTAGCGGAGAGTAAGACGGAGGGACTCGGACAGATCAGAGTTGACTTCTGCCCAAGTTGAAGAGAGAAGGAGCGTCTCAACGTTCCAGCCCCCTGTGCCTCCGGCTGACTTGGCAGCAGTGCCCTCCCGTCCCCTTTGCCTGCAGCCGGTGAAAAAAATAAAAAGAAAACGCCAGCCTGGGATGCTTGGCTGAGCCCTGCCTCTGCAGCCCACAGATCCCTCCAACTGACGTTTAATCTTCCTGGGTCTGATGATCCGACTTAATTCAAAATGTAAATTTCATCTCCTCTGGGCTAACGGCTCTGAGCTCCACTTCACATAACGGGGAGGCAGCTGCTGCATGAGTCAGCAGGCCTCCGGCTCCCGGCCTCTGGTCTTAATGGTGATGAAGGCCTCCCCAGGCTTCAGACTGACAGGCACAGCCTCCGTGCCCACCGAGGCCAGACCTGGGTTCACCTCTGAGGGCAGAGTGTTCTATTAGGGGGTCCATGGGGCGGGGGGTGAATGCTCTGGGGCAGTCTCGGCAGCCCAGGTGCCTATGCCCACTCCCCTGATGGGGGAACCTTGGCCCTAACAGGGAATTTCACCCAGACCCAGAAAGCACCCTTGCACCTTCCAGGGTCTGGCCTGTGAGTGGCAGCCACTGTTTTCCAGATGCTGGCTTCCCTATGGGAGCTGCCCCTGGCCACAGAGAAGGTCCTCTCTGGCTCCCCAGGAGATCCAAGGGCTTCGCAAAGCCAGCTAATACCCCATTGTCTGAGTTCAGCCATGCCCTTAAAGACAAACCAGTCTGGGGTGGGGGATATGGGGGGGGGGGGCGGAGGGTCGGGGACCTGCAGGCGTGCCCATGAGTTTGGAAGGCTGTTCCGGCCTCCCTTCCCGGGGTCCTCGGGTTGGAGGAGCTCAGCTGTACATGAGGGGCAGATGGTGTCATCGCTGGAACAAGCAGGGAGTGAGGCGTCAGGGGGCGGGCGGCCGGCATGCGATGCTCTCCAGGTGAACTATTTGGGAGTGGACGGTGCTCATGGCCCTGAAGGCAGCCCACCCCACGCTGTCTGTCTTGTCACTCTCCCCACACCTGGACCCGGGGTCACTAAGTCCCAACTCTAAGGGCCCCACTGAAGAGCCACATGGCTCAGACTTCAGGGCAGGTTAGAGGTGGAAGGACCTCTGGGGGGCAAGGCAAGCCTCTCCTGTGCAGCGGGGGAAACTGAGGCTCAGGCCGCACCAGGAGTCTAGTGGCTGCAGTGGGTACTCACTCCATAACCCAGCCTCCATTCCACTGGCTTCTGCTACCGGGGAGGGGAGAGAAGGAAAGTGGGCGCCTGCGTGGCTGGAGCCCCTGGTCCAGCCCCTCTGTTGCGGGGTGACATGAGCAAACCGTCCCTCCTCTTGTCAGAGCTGAGGGAGGTCCCTGCCCCCCGCCCCTGCCCTGTCCCCCAACTTAGGTCCTGACATGGACTCAAAGCTGATGAGCATCCACCTGGAGTTTGAGGGCCTGGAGGTCTCAGCGCTGCCACCTGCTGGCCTCAGGATTGTTTGCAGCTTCTGTCCTGGCCTGTTTCTCCTCCGGAGGTGGGAGGCGGGGGAGATGACTTTTAAGATGCTCAGTGACCATTTGGAGATGTTCTTGGCCTTGGCATTGAGCCCCACAGTGAGAAAGTCAGTCCCCTTCCTCGGACCCTCCTGTCTCTCTGCCCGCCCCGGTGCCGCCCTCTCTGTGCTCCTCTGCGTTTGACAGGATGGGCGCAGGCCCCCAGCTAAGAGCCTTCGGTAAACAGCTGGCTTCTAATGCAAGCTGAGAGGCGATTTTGTTTTCCATTTTATTCTTTTGTAAAACTACTTGATGGAGCTGTCATTGACATACCATACAATTCACCCAATTAAAACCTACAATTTGGTGGTTTTTAATATAGTCACAGGAATGAGCAGCCTTTGCCACAATCTAGTTTTAGAACATGTCATCACCCCAAAAAGAAACCCTGCTCCCATCGGCAGTCACTCCCGGTGCCACTTCCCCGGACCCCGGGGACCACCCGTCTTTTTGTGGGTTTGCCAGCATGTGGCCGGCCTTCTGGGCCTGGCTACGCGCTGTGTTTGTGTGGTAACCACCTTATCAAGGAATCCTGGCTTTTCATTAATGGCTGGAATGCAATGTTTTCTTCTAAGGCAAATTTCTTTTAACCTACGATTGCGTTCTACTTCAGCGAGGGGTTATCTGCTCAAGTTACCCGTGACCCACGGGAGGCGGGGCCTGCACAGGGCATTCGGAAAACTCAGGGGCAGTTCTGCCCCAGGGCCTGGGGGTCCCTTTGCAGCTGCTTCTCTGATTTGGGGAACTTTTCCCCTCTCTCCTCTCTCTGAGCCCCTTCCTCCTTCCCCCCTGACCCCCCATTTCAGGGAGGGAAGACGGGCCAGAGCAAAGTCTTTGCGAACAGTCAGCCCCTCTATTCCACAAACTCAGAGGGCCAGCTGTGGTCCCAGCTTCCCCCCAGTCACTTTGTCCGGAAGCAGCATGACAACAAGTTTAATTATGCAATTAAAGTCATTTTCCTGAGCTGAGCAAATATTTACAGCATATTTTGCTGCAAATTGCTTCGCCTAGAGAAAGGTTCTGGCGCTGGGGCTGGTGCGCCTGGCTGATTCATACGTTTACATCCCCATCGCCGGGGGCCCGGCTGTGCAGGCAGGTGGCAGACAAGCGAGCCCCGGGAGCTCGCTCAGGGAGGGACGAGGCCGGTGTCAGTCTGGCCACGGTGTTCTTGTTCCCGCCGGCCACTGAGGACCATTGACGTCTGCTGCTCCTCTGGGGCGCCCTGAAGCCCAGCTCCGCCGCGTCAGAGAAACCTCTGGGCCAGCCCCTCGTGCGAGGGAGCAGCTCTGTGACGGTCAGATCCCTGTCCGTCTGTCCTGCGCCCGCTGTCTTCCTGTCATCTGGCAGCGTCCCGGGAGCTGGTCCTTAGCAAGAGCACAGGCGGGCCTCTGCCCGGGCCCCTCGGGGTTCAGCTTCCTGTGCGAGCCGGACAGGAAAAACTCAGGCAGAACTTGAGGACCCCAGAAAAGGCACAGCCTGTTCCCCACTTCACCCGCGGAGGGAACTCTATCCATTTCCTAGGGGTGAGGTCGTAGCCTCAGGCTTTCTAAGTCCAAGGGCATCCCCCCCCCCCCACTCCACCCAGCACCCCTGATCGCAAGGAAGTTCCGTGTGGTATTGGGGGGTGGCTTGTGTGACATCAAGGCATTGGGGAGGGGTGGGCAGGAGTGACATTGAAAATATTTAACCGCCGATGGGGCAGTGACCACTCGGAGACGACCCAGAGTCAGTCTGGAGCCCCTCCGCTGTGCGGGAAAGTCTGGGGGGCCCGGGAAAGGACCTGGGATGGATGTTGGATAAGCTGGGGTGCCAGGGGGCTGGGGCAGCGGGTCTCCAGCAGGGCGCTGGGGTGATTGCAGCCTCTCCCCTCCAGCCCCCCCTCCCCCCCACACACACACACTGAATGTTGGACCCTGATGTTGCACCATCACGGCTACACGGAAGGCCCGGAGAAAAGTAACAGCACTGCTGTCCTCGAGGCCCCACTGCGTCCTGTCCCGTACATGCACCATCTCACTGCATCTTTCCAGCACCCTCATGCCGGTTCCTACAGCCCTCTTCCAGCCAGGGAAGCTGAGGCGGGAGCCTGTGTGGTCACCTGCGCACCCACCACTGCCGGAGGGGGAGACTGGGGTCTGCGCTGGGCTGGGCTGTGCCCGCGTCCTCGTGGGACCCGGCAGGGACATTACTGCCACCGCCGGCCCCGTAAGAGTCGCTCCGGTGACCCTGCTGCCAGAGACAGGGCTGGAATGTGCCCAGGGTCACCAGTGTTTACTACCCCCTGGGGAGGGAGGGGCGGGGGGAGGAAGCAGGTGGCCAGCCCTTTCCCTCAGATGCCCTCACCTGGTGCCCTGCTGGTGCAACTGATGACAGCGGCGACACAGCAGCGGTCGCCGCTCTGGCTCGGGCCTCTGGCGGGGGCAGGCCGTGAGCCTCAGGTGCCCGTGCCCTGTATTCTTAAAGCTCCAGAAGGAACATGCGTGCGGCACCCAGACCGGGGTTCTGGGTTAGGATGGACCTGAGAAGCGAGAGAAAGAGAGAGAGAGAGAGAGAGAGAGAGAGAGAGAGAGAAGGGAGAGGGCCCCGTCACCCACCCACCCCCACCCACCAGGCTCCCCGATGCTCCAGTGAGCACAGGGCAGGTTTGTTGTCCTGGTCCAATATTTGCCTTGTACCTACTGTGCTCTGGCCTTTAACCCAGACTCCAGCACAGCTCCGGGCACCGTGGAGGTCAGGGGCAGCTCCTACGTGGCTTCCCAGGGAAGATGTCAGTCCCAATGTTGGTTTGAGGTCACGTGGGGAGGGCTGACCAGGGATCAGGACGCTGGGTTTTCATTCTCCCAACCAAGGGCCACTCACCGTCCCAGGACCTAGCGTGGCCTCGGCAAACCGGCACTGCAGGCAACGCTGTCGTGTCCTGATAGCTCACACACAGAGACTAGGGCTTGGAGCTAGACGGGCAGACAAGGGAGCACAGTTTTGGGAAACTAAGTCAGGGGCCAATCAGTGGCAAGTGTTGGGTCCTTTGGGTCCTTTGAAAACTCATTTCTGTTTAAGGCACCTCCTCTAGGCTGTCCTCCAGGCTTTCATGGCCTGGTGGCAACATGGTCATACAACAGTCTGCTGGGTGAGGGGGTGATGCTGGGTGGGAGCCTAAGGAATCCCAAGATGGACAGCTTTGCCTGCAAAGCAACAAAACCTGCTGAGGGCCTAGATTAGGACACGGGCCCGGGGCGTGCATTTCAACAATGGTGCCCAAACTCGGTCCTGGAAGCCCCTCTTAGGAGTCCAAGGAACTATGGCCTGGTCCCCACTCTCCCCTGTCAGCCAGGTGGGCTGCCTTCGGGTTTGTTTCCTTGGTCATTCGGTTTCTGAGCGAGAGCACATGTGAAACCAGGCTTGTGCAGAGAAAAGTAGAATCCTTTGGAAAGCCACTGACTTAAAGTAATACCTTTGCACTCTATTCAGTGTGGTTCCTCCGCCCCCCCACCCCCACCCTGGCCCAGTGGTCTTGGTATTAGAACTGACCCTGTCAGGAGAGCTGGGTCTGCTCTCTGCTCCTTCAGGGAAAGAAAACCCTGCTTGCTATTTTCCAGCCCCAAGGGACACTCCTGGCCTCAGCTCCCATCTATAAATCGGGGCAATCTCGGCTGCACCGTCCACTGGAGCCACTGCAGGGTGCAAGGCGGTTTGGGGGGATGAGCAGGTGTGTGGAAGGAAAGCAAGCTGTGATTAACCTGGCAGGAACAAAGCCGCCCGAACTGTGGGGCCCAGGAAGGAAACTACCGGAGGAAGTCATGCTCCAGGCCACGTCCACGGCTGGTCTGGATTGCTCCCCAGCACCCCGCAAACGCTGGGAGCAGAGGGCCGGGGGCGTGAGGCTGACAGGGGCAGCACTGCACACCCACGCTGAGGCCATGCTCGGTGTGCCCAGGCTCAGGCAATGCTTGCGCCACGGAGACACCCTTGGCTGCTCCTGCAGAGGGGCCCCTTCCTCTCGCCTCTCCTTCCCTGGGCATGACATTGAGAAAAGCCCTGCTCAGAAGAGTTTATTTCACAGCCTGTGAAACTGGCTCCAGTATCATTCTTGTGGGAGGCCACGCCCCCAGACCCACATTTTTGTCAAAAAGCACATTTTAAATGCTCCCGTTCCAGGTACACGAGACCCACCTCTACAGGCTTACGGAAGTGCTACGGGGCACTGATTAGTGGCTCAGACACTGCCCAGTGGTTGATTCAGAAAAGCCCCAGTGTGGTGCCATGTCCCTTCTGGGTGACATTCTCTGCTCCCTCCAGCCCCCAAATCACCCCTCTTTATGGGGGTCCTGACGTCCCCACATGTTTTGGAGGGGATTTGAGATTGGAGTCCTCTCTCCTTGGTGTTTCAATTTTTAAAAAATATATTTTATTGATTTTTTTTTTTTTTTTACGGAGAAGAAGGGAGAGGGACAGAGAGTTAGAAACATCCATGAGAGAGAAACATCGATCAGCTGCCTCCTGCACACACCCAACTAGGGATGTGCCCACAACCAAGGTGCATGCCCTTGACGGGAATCGAACCTGGGACCCTTCACTCTGCAGGCCGACGCTCTATCCACTGAGCCAAACCGGTCAGGGCGGTGGTTCAGTTTTTTAAAAACCAAGCAGACAAATCCACCTTTCTATAAAAGTTTATTTTGTAATTTTCCAAGACGTGTTCAGAGAAAAGGTGAAATTCTGCAAAGGTAAGGAACAACTGTATATAAAAATAATTTAAACACACATATTAATAATAAAGCGACATTTCTTTCTAGCAAAAACTAGTAGGTAATCTTGCCCAAGATTTTTTCCAAAGGTATTAAATACATTTTAGATAACAGTACACACACACACACACACACACACACACACACACACACACATATATACAGCTCAAGTATTGTTCTCTGTGCATTCCTGCTAACTGATAGCTACAGTGACAATGACTAAATGCCTGAGTGTCCTGAAGATTGAGCAAATGTGCACGGAATCGTGAATTTGGGGGACGTGCTAAGATTTCCCTCCCCAATCTCGGTAGTTACTAGCCGGTACCCTGTGGTCGTATCTGAACAATTAAAGTGTGTCTGTCGGAAAGGCTCGTGGGTGTGGTCACTGCGGGTGGCAGGCGGCAGCGGGTCGGGATCCCGGCTCTTGCTCCTGGCACACCTCGCGGACCGGGAGGGGTGTGGAGGGTGCGGCTGCTCTCCTTACATCTGACTGACTCTCTGCTTCAGCGCCTGGACCTCCCTCTCGATTTCAGGGGGGAGGTCCGCGTTCACTTGCTCCTCCAGGTAGGCCTGAATGTCCTCCGCCTCCTTCTCCCAGAACTCCCGGGAGATGTCGAAGAGCTCCTTCGTGTTGACGTTCCCCAGGCCTCTCAGATTCAGGGCCTCCTCCGTGGGGATGTAGCCGATGGCCGTGAGCTTGGCGCCGCCTTTCCCGTTGATCCGGTTGAACATCCACTCCAGCACCCGGGAGTTCTCTCCAAACCCGGGCCAGAGGAACTTGCCGTCCTTGTCCTTCCGGAACCAGTTGACGTGGAAGATCTTGGGCAGCTTGGCCGCGGGGCGCTGGGCCATGCTGAGCCAGTGGGCCAGGTACTTGCCAAAGTTGTAGCCAAAGAAGGGCCGCATGGCAAAGGGGTCGTGCATGATGACTTTGCCTGTTAACACAGAGGGGAGGGGCCCTGTCGGTCAGTGAGGCCCCCATAGGACAGTGCTGATGGCTGACATCAGCAGGCTCAGCTCCTCTCTCCACACGGAGAGAGGCAGAGACACAGACACAGAGGCAGAGAGACAGAGACAGAGAGAGACGCAGAGACATAGAAACAGACAAAGACAGACAGAAACAGGAGAGACACAGAGACATAGAAACAAACACAGGAGAGAGAGACATAGAGACAGAGGAACACAGAGACAGGAAGAGAGACACAGAGACGGGAGAGAGCGCGCCGACCCTGTCCCTGTGGCTGCAGATTTTGACTTGGATTTACCTTTGTGCTCGGCGGCCGCCGTGGCCTCGGACCTCATGGCCGCCCCCACAAACACTCCATGCTGCCAGCTGAGAGCTTCATAGACGAGAGGGACACCTGTAGCAGGAAAGAAAAGATGTCCCTTCAACGCTTTGACACTCAGACCCTCCGGCCGGCACTGTCGTCTCACAAATGGAAAGAAGGCAGAGCAGCATCTTCCTTATTCCCCTCACGGTGTGTTCCCAGAGCTGCAGCGCCACCACCGAGGCCCACAACCAAAGGAGACTGATAAAGCTCTGTTAGGTTGAGGGTCCTGAAAGCCTCTAGTGGCCAGAGGGGCTTCTACCTTTGGGCTTGCCAGTCATCCCAGATGCTGGGAAAGCAAGCTGGCCTCGCGGGCACCCTCTGACACGGCCATGGGAAAGGAGTGATTCCACAGACCCGCCCAGCCGGGTGCAGGGAGCCTCACCAGCAGGTCGGCGCCCTCCAAAGATGATGCCCTCGATGGGCACGCCCTCCGGAGCCTCCCAGGCAGGGTCGATGATGGGGCACTGGCTGGCGGGGGTGCAGAACCGCGAGTTGGGGTGGGCACAAGGTTCCCCTACAACAGGCAGAGAGGAGAGGCCCCTGAGTGTCCAGAACAAACACCGAGCACCCAGGGTTGGGGGGCGGCGGGGCCTCCAGCGGGCTCACCGTCCTCGGGAGTCCAGTCCTTGTTCTTCCACGAGGTGACCTTGACCCCAGCGGCCAGCGGCTGGTCGATGCCCTCCCAGTAGACGCCGCCGTCACTGGTCTCGGCCACGTTGGTGAAGATGGTGTTCCTCTGGATGGTCTTGATGGCGTTGGGGTTGGTCTTCACAGAGGTTCCAGGAGCAACACCAAAAAATCCGTTTTCTGGGTTGATGGCCCTTAAGTTACCTGGAGAGTTTTAAACCCGAGACGTCAACGTGAGCGCCCAGCAATGCATACCTGAGCTCTGAAACCTTGCCAGGCTCGTTTTTGCACCAAACTCTCGAATCTTTTTTCCCCTCCTCCTTAGAATGTATTTTTCTTTTCCCACCCAAGCAATTATATTTACAACGCTCTCCTCCCCCTCAGTTTTCCATCAATCCTATTTTAACATATGTATTCCATAAACAAGCAGCCACAGAGGCTCCCATTTCAACCCAGATTTGATAGTAAGTGAAAGACTGCTTATAGAGAATACATATTTCTAAGACTTTGCAAGATCTGAAATCACTAAATTAAAAATCTGGACCGTGTGAGCTCAGGGGCCCTTGGCATGTTTGAAAAGCAAAAGTCCACTGTGAGCAACAGGTGGGCCTGAGAGTCACCTTGCTGGTCAAACTTCATCCAGGCGATGTCGTCGCCCACACACTCGATCTTCCAGCCCGGGAGGCTGGGGTTCATCATGGCCAGGTTGGTCTTCCCGCAGGCGCTGGGGAACGCAGCCGCGAAGTACTTCTTCTGGCCCTGGGGGCTGGTTATGCCCAGGATCTGCAGAGACAACGTTCCTCCTGATGCTTTTCCTTCCTTTGCTTCCCAGCCCATGCTTCAGCCTCAGCCTCGGGGTGTGCCTAGAAGCCCCCGAAGGGCGGGACCCCAGCTTCTATCTCTTCAAGTTTCCAAACAAATATTTTGAATAATGGCGCCTACGGGCCTGGCTGTGTTTGGCGTCCTTCAAAAGGAGCAGCCATGAGTCATTCATAACTATTGATGGCATTTCCGAATCTGTCTGGCCTGGGTGTCCTGGGCCTGGCCTGGTGGGCACTGGAAGGCCACCTGTATTGGCCAGCACCCGCCCCTGTGCCGACCTCTGCCCCGACCTGCTCACTCAGAATTCCCTGCATCTTACCAGCATGTGCTCGGCCAGCCACCCCTCCTCCTTGGCCAGCCGGCTGGCCATCCTGAGTGCGAAGCACTTCTTCCCCAGCAGCGAGTTGCCGCCGTAGCCGCTCCCGAAGGAGATGATCTCCCTGCGGTCGGGCAGGTGGGCGATGAGCGTCTGCTCTGGGTTGCAGGCCCAGTTGTTCACCAGCGGCTCTGCGGAGGACACAGCGCGTCAGGTCAGCGTGGCCCCACCCGCCGAGGGCCCGGAGGACGCGCGGGGGTTTAAGGCTAGGCTTACGTTGAGAAATTCTAGCTTTTGGTTTTGAAACAATGTGCTTACTTTTTAAAGGCAAGGGGCACCCCACGGAATGGAGGCACTTGACGAATTCCCCGTCACCCAGAGCCTCCAGGACGGGCGTCCCCATTCTCGTCATGATGCGCATGCTGGCCACCACGTAGGGCGAGTCCGTCAGCTCGATGCCCACCTTGGCCAGAGGTGAGCCCAGGGGCCCCATGCTGAAGGGGATGACGTACATGGTGCGACCTGCGGGCGGGGGGAGCCGTGAGAGAGCGCCTCGGACTCATAACAACCAACACTCGTTTCCTCCAATCACCTCACTCCCTGCCCGCCACCGGCTCCCCAGTCCACGAGAGTCCACTGGAAAGTGGAGAGAATCCCCAAAACAAAGGCATTTTCATAAACGTGCAATTGGGTTCCACCATGCATGGAAACCGTTTTCCTGTTCCTCGGAGACAGTTTGTAAATCGAATCCTAAGATGCACGTTTTCAAGACGTTGCCAATCTCACATATGGAATTTAAAGATCTCCGAGGCCACGGGAGTTTCCATGACGGTTAAAGTGACCGTTCGGACAGACATCATAATAAAAGGCTTGCGGATATTTTGCCCCTCAAATAAGTGCTTCGCCTACCTTTCATGCACCCCGGAAATCGGGCGTTGAATGCTTTCTCAAAGTCCCCCTCCGACATCCAGCGGCCCAGCTGGCTGATGCCGCTTTTGGGGATGGGCACTGTGTCTCTTTGCTCTCGGGTGACGATGACCGTCTTGCTTTCGATTCTGGCCACGTCCCTGGGGTCCGTGAGAGCCAACCAGCTGCAAAAACAATAACACAGGTGAGGGGCGGAGGGGAAGTGCAGCCATGTTGAATGCGTCTGTGTGCATCCTGTAGGAACGGACCCGCTGACTCATCCTCATGTCCTCCCTGCCCCGAGCAGGTGCCAAGCACTGGCGACGTTCTGCAGATGTGGCAGCCACACCAGCTGGCAGGGTCAAGGAGCCATTTGCTAGACTGTGAGCCAGTCTGGGCGGACAGGGGCGGTCGACTTCTGTTTTTACCCGGTGTCTAATTTGCAAAGAGCATTTGCTTGCCTATGCCAGCTCATTGAAGACTGGGGCACTACGAGTGTCATTAAGTTAAAGCCTATATGGTTCTGGCCATTACATAATTTTTCAAAGGCCTGCAAACCCCTCACCCCTCGCTCTTCATCCACCTCTTTCCACCTTGGGGGGGGGGGGGGGCTGGGGCGCACTCACCAGTTGTCGTACTTCTTCAGCCTCTTGATGGTGCCCTGCTCCTCCATCTCGCGCAGCAGCTGCTGGTTCTCCTCCTCGGAGCCATTGCAGATGTGGATGCATTCGGGCTGGCACAGGCTGGCGTTGGTCTCCACGAACTCGCGCACTGCCTGGGGCAGGCTGTCCAGGGTGCCCTGGACGACCTTGGCAGAGTAGTTGAGGCCGTTGGGGAGCTGAGGAGGCATTTCTGCAGAGTCGCGCTGAGGGCCACAGACACGGAGGTTCCCTGCAACGGCAAGCATGGGCTTCCTGAGCATGAGCGAGAACTGGCGCCCTCTGGCCCACGCTGGGGCTGTGTCTGGCGGCGCACCTGCCCGGCGTAGCTGTAAGGATAAGGAAGCGAGTTCGCGTTTACTCCGTGGTTTTTAGCAACGTAAGTTCAAACGCCCGGCCTACCTTCCTGCTCTCTGGACGGTCTCGACCAGAGATCCAAGGCCTGCTTCCGGGCTCTTCCTGCTGGTGAGCCTGCTTTCCCGGTGGGAAGGTGGTGTTTGGTGTTTGGTGGCAGAAGCGCTGGCTTTAAATGCCACAGAGAAGCAAGGTCCTGCCCCCTGGCCCCACCCCGGAGGCTCGTCTCTGACGTCAGGGGCAGGCCTTTGGATCGGGGCCACGGTCAGCTTCGCTTTGGACCGGCTCCCCACGACCCACCCCAGGGAGATAATCATTGAACAGCCAGCCGCGGGGATGCCAGGAGGCCTCCGACCCCTCGCCAGCCGCCCTTACACAACGTCTGATTGACTAAACTTTGGCCCAGTTCACTGCTGATGCAAAACACATGCCCTTCCGTTGACAGGCGGGAGGGGCGGGCCCAGGCTGGCAGGGCACCTCCTGGACGTCGAGTGTGTCCAGGGCACAAGCTGGCAGCACATTGTGTGTACCCATGGCTGCCGGTTGGCAGAACATTAGGGTGGTAGGTGTCAGCCACCCTCAAAGCCCCGGAAGGCTGTGCCTGATGCCAGCCAACAGGTGACTTGTTGGCAAAGGTCTGACCTAACTGGGGGCTAATAACCCTACTGAGTGTTCACTGTACCCCAATATAAAGGCAGGGGTTTCTGCCTATTTTGCTCATTTTTGTGGGTACAGTTACTGACACACCGTAAGCACTGTCCTCGGGCCTTGCATCACGACCAACCTCTGAGGCGGAGCCCATGCACAACCCTATGTCCAGACAAGGAAACTGAGGCACCGGGAGGCAGGGCCCTACTCCCAGCTCCCCGGCTGGTGGGCAGCAGAGGGAGAGCTAGAGGACAGGCGAGCTGGGCTCCGGAGTACTACCCCAGACGATCCTGTGGGGTGCCATTGCCTCTTCTGGAACCTTCCGTGTACCCTCCAAAGAGCTCCGGGCTGGGTGCAGCTATCCCTTTTCTTTGCCCTGCCAAGTCCGAGCACCTAGGGAGGGGGAGGGGTGGGGGAGGGGGGGGCTTGGCGGTTTTGCTAGATTACACTTGAGCAATGAGACCTTTATAACAGCTCTTTAGAAAAATGTGCTTTGCAAGCCGTCGGAGCTTCGGTCCAATTTAATGGACCATGGAGCGGTTGCTGGTGTTTCGAGAGCATTGGGTGAGAAGTCAGGAGAGGGGGGCCAGGCCCTGACTCCCCACAGCCAACCCCTAGGCTCAGGGGAGCCCCCTCCCTCCAATGAGGTCGGGTAGGGACGCCTGCCTCCCCAGGGAGCGTGTGCTGACAACCCCCTGGTGGAAGGCCCCGGAATGGCTGTCTCAGGCCCGGCGTGCTGAGTGGCCTGTCCACAGGGTTCCCTCCTCACTGCAGTTTGTGCACACGCTCCCGCCTTCCACCAAACTGTCCCCCGCTGCTGTTTCATTCACTTGGGTTTTTATTCAACCAATCGAACCTTTCAGTATAAATGCAATGTGAGCGGTTTTGTTTAGTTTTATATTATTTCCCTTTTTCGGTCACTAGAATTCATTATCAGTGGCATTGCCAGCCACGTACAAGTCTGTGTCCTGTCTAAATGCGACCAGGATGTGATAGTGCTCCTGGCTGAGGGACTCTCTCCACATGTGACATCCGTGGAATTCCCAGCCCAACGCAGGACGACACAACACACGCATCCGCGGTTCATCTCGCCTAATGGGTCGGGATGCCCGTGTGGCTGATAAAGCTGTCATAGGTCTGATTCCTCCAAGAGCACATAGATTGAAAACAAAACTGTGAAACCAGCACTCATTTGCCGTTCTAAACACCACTCATAAATTCCAGGTGTTTATGTCCCGAGTCCTCGGCGAGAGAAACCAGCGAGTTCAATTACCATGTAGGAGCGGTGAGTCGCACCGCCCGCCTCTAATCTTTTCATTGCAGCGCTGAACGGAGCAAAGGTGGCCTGGAGACTCGGGCGGGGCTGCTGAGGCTTAAAAGGTGTGAGCAGGTGAGCCGGGGTTGGGGGGGAGGGGGGCAGGGAGCGCTGTGATCCAGGTGAGCAATGGAGAGCAAAGCCATGAACTTGCAGGGGTCTCACCGAGGACTCTCGGGAAGTTTGATTGTGACGTACATGGACGTTTCTTAGCGACCCGGTGGCCAATAAAAAAGCAGAAATTCACAGATGGTGCACAGATGGTCCAAAGACCATCAGCACCAGCGCTTGGAGCCCCTTAGGGCCAGGATGGGTGGTTTCCATCCTGTGCTTGAGGGAATGGGGGGAGTCCCCAGGGGGAGTCCACGGAGCCCCCTCACAGAGGAGGGGAGAAGGCCAGGGAGATGAGCTCGCAGACTTCCCCGCCTGTGGTATGTACTGGGCTTCCATGTTGGATCTTTGCTCGAAATAGGAATCTCACCGCGTGTGAACATGGGACAGCCACATTCTTTCATAGGGGAGGAGGGCAGCGAGGCCCGGAGAGCACAGCTGGACCTTTTCCCACGCTAAGGCTCTTCACGGTAAGAGCATCACCTTCCCTCTGTACTCCCCGCACCGATGGGGGTGACGGGATGGGCTCATTCCACAGAAATGCCCCTCGGCTCAGGAATCTGAGTTCCTAGAAAAGCGTGGCCCCTTTCTGGCAGAGACAGAAGGGGCTGTGGTTTTCCGGAGGCGACAAGGAACGAACAATGTAAATCCCACGTCTGTGCCGTCTCCGCTGCCGGGGGGCCGGCTCTGTGGGCACTCGGCTGGCCCCGCCGTGGAAACGGCCGACACTGTGGAGCTGAGTGACGAGCAGCCCAGGAGTCATCTGCCCCCCAGCAGCCCAGGTCGTCCACCCCACTGTGTTTGTTAGGGACAAATATTTAGATGTTCCACATTTATGGGGTAATCTTTGCGTCTTTGAGGCCTGGAGGGCATTTTTAAGAGTTGAATGAGTCAGTTTGCTCGTTTGGAGCCACAGAATTATATAATTGAAAGGTCCTTAAAAGATTAGGCTAATCCAGTTTAACAGGTAGGGGTTCTCCTTGGGGGTGATAAAATGTTCTGGAACTAGATAGAGGTGGCGGCTGCATAATTGTGAATGTACTAAATGCCACTGAATTGTACACTGTAAAATGGTTCCTTTTATGTTACGTGAATTTCACCGCAATTAAAAGAGAAAAAAGATGATGCATTCCGATCTGCTCCTTTGAAGACGAGGGAACAATGGCCCAGGGTGGGGGCCGCTCTCTAGGAGGCAGGCTGGTCTCCAGCACCCTCCAAGCCCCACCAGCACCACCCCTCGACCTCATCCTTCCCACTGCTCCCAATGGCCTCATAATGTCTTAGGCAGGCAGAGAGGACCGTTAATATCATTAGGGAATCTGCCCCAGGGAGGGTCATGGTTTTGTTTACATATTCTTTCCACAATGAAGAAATAAAATGAACCAAGAGGCAAACCACTCTGCTCGGTGTGAGCTGATAAAGCGTGGTTTCTGCGGCAGAGATGTGCTCAGAGAATATGTTCAGTGAGTGCGGACCGCCAGGTGTCAGACCTTTTCCGAGGCTGGTTCTGTCCGGTGACAATCATTAGCGCCCCGGGGAAATAGGGAGTCCATACAATCATTTTTATTTCCTTCGGCTCTTTCTCCGTCAGGTTTATGCAGAAAGGACTCACATGTGGGAGAGGAACGCAGCACGTCACACCCACCCCGTGAATGGCTGCGCCCTTCGGAGGGTCTTGCTGTCGCCGGGGGGATGCTGACTCGGTCAGTGGAGGGAAAGCCACCCACGGTCAGGACAGGCCGACTGCAGACCTGCTCCTGTTCCGTGCCCAGCTTGCTCTTCTTCGGCCTTGAGAGACTGACGCTCCTTGTTGTCTAAGCCGTTTTGAGTTGGGTGGCCCGTTGTTTGCAGCCAAAAGCGTCTGAGATTACATTCCATACCCCGTCCACCCAGAAGCCAGACTCAGGGGCCGTGGTGGCTGCAGGCCAGCTCCCCAGCAGCTTGCGTTCCCCTCCTCGCCTGTGCGGAGCAGGTGGATGAGGCACCCGCCGAGGCCCTGCCCTCCCTGGAGTCCTGTCCGGTTTGGTTTCTGTCGTTTCCTTCTTGCCCGCTCTGGAAGACGGCAACAGTGTTTGCGGAGCCTCTCTTCTTGTTGGAGGCTGGGAGGCCTTGGTTAAAGGGGAGGTGACTTAGGTGCGCAACTACCCTGGGGGGACAGGGACGGACAGCAAGTCTGGGTAAGACAATACAAAATTACAAACTCCGATTTGCCCTAATTTTGTACAACCCTGCCTCGGTTTCTGTCCTTCGGGTTGATGTTGTAGACAGAGCATACCCAGACTGTAGCCCGAATCACCAGTGTCCCTCCGTCCCCATTATCCGCTGTGAGGTTTAGTGTTGAGGGCACTGGCTGTGCGGTCGGGCTCCAGTGGCTCTGGAATGCTGTGCCATCTGCATTCTCACACATTCTCTGGAATGACCGACGTCAGCGGGGGCAGAGGGACAGAGGGCCCAGCCCGGCCCTGAGTGCCCGGGTGCGTCACTTATGGCCCCCGTTTCCTCGTCTCTAAACCGAGACGGCCCTTCTGACTCAGAGGGCCCCTGCGTTCAGGTGCTCAGGAGCGAGCAAGTCCATTTCCGGAGAGAGTGTGTGGCAAACAGAGTGAGAGTGAGAAGAAATGTGCCGCTGAATCCCATTCCAAACACACGCGCAGAGGAAAGCCAGCGTGCCCAGGCCGGCACGGGGCAGAGAGACCCAGGCGCGCCGGCCCCACAAAAACAGCGGGAAAATGGATCCACTCTGCGGTTCAGTGAATCCTCTTGGAAGCCACAGTCACTGCTCCAGAACTGAATGCACCCTCCCTCGCGCTCCCTGGTGACTGCAAATCCTCCCTCGCTCTCAGGTTAGGGCTCAGCACGAAAATGTCTGTCCTGGTCCGCGCTGGGGATCATTCCCAAACTCTAAATCTAACTCACTCTCAGCTCCTCTCCCAACAGGGGAGGCTCACCCCCCGGGACCTGAGGACACATCCCCGGGGTGGGGGGTGCAGCCAGCGCACCTCCTCAGGGCTGGGGCTCCTAACTCAGCTATTGGACCCTGAAATATCTCCAAGTGGGAATGTGGTGGGAACTGAGCCCCTCGGGCGGATATTCTAAAACTCGGGTCGAGAAGCCAAGCCCATCTCCACGCACCGGGAAGACCCTGAGTGTGAGCGGGGCCGAGTCTGGTGGGAAGGCGGCCAGCTCGTGAGCCCTTCGCCAAACCAACCTGCACGGCTTCGAAGAGGCAACCGAGTAAGATAAACGGTCGAGGGGGAAAGAAACCTTCGTGTTGGGTGTTTGGGGTATTTAAGAAAAAGTGAAATTGTTGAGGGGTGAGCACTGGGCTGCAGGCCCGAGAGGCACAGCCAACCCGATGGGAGAGGCGGCCATGCCACCCACTGGCATTTCAGCAGGAAGACGGGAAGCAGGGACTGGAGGACCTCTGCGCCCTCAGGTGCAATGGGCCCCGTGGCTCTTTGTTTTCAAGCAGACTGGGCCCTGTCCTGTGGCTATTCAGCCAGAAGCCGGCGGAGGTTATGTGAGTCTTCTTCCCCCGCTTGCAGTAAGGAAACCATGATAGAACAGGCCCCTTTCTCACCCTGTGTGCTGGCCCGCGCTGATGCAGCCAGGACCGGCAGGGTCTAGGGCTCGGGCGTCTGGCTCAGGGCTGGCTCAGCTCCCCACCCCGCGGGCTCCCTCCCCAGGCAGCCGGGCCAACTGCTCCAGGGTTGAAAAGTGGTGGGAGGTCTGGGCTTTCAGACACCAACTTCTGTACAGAGGTGAGCCAACCGCACGCAGCATTTGATCCTGTTTGGCCACCAAGGTCATCAGAAACAGGCCTTGGCTCAACGTTTCCACCGCAGGTAGGGCCCTGGCATCCCAAGGAGTATGAGAGGATCGGGCTTGGTACCCAAATAAGCACCCGGGAACAGTGCCTGCACGATGGAGCGAGTGTTCCTAAATGCCCAAAGGAAAAGCACTGGTCTTCATGCGTGCAAATCCTTTAATTCGTGCAAACACTGGCTCCTGGGGAGTTCTAGCACAGGAGAGAGGGGACAAAAAAAGCAAAGGCCACGTCCCCGACCTCCAGGAGCAGTTTCTTCGCTCCTCTCAGCACCCTCCTTACCTCAGCCCCTGCACATAGTAGGTGCTCAGCAAATGTCCACTAAACAAACCCAGCTGGAAAGACAAGTGCCGCAGGCGGGAGCGGGGCCGTACCGGCCGCCGTGCCTAGCACCGAGAGCATGGTGCAGGCAATAAATCCACCCCAGAATGTCCCACCCACGGAGTCTGTGGGTTCTCTTTAACTTTCCCACATGCTTCCCTCTCCACGCCTCTCTCAGCTCCCTGATTCGGATTCATGCGACTAAGTGTGAGGCATAACCGGCTCATTGCTCTCTCCTGGCGTCGCTGCTCCCCTGGCTTCCCGGCCCCGAGCACATACTGCCGGGTCAGATGGAAGGCACCCGAGCAGGCATTTTCCGAGCTGCGCCGTTTACTTGTCCAGAGTCCCACCATGTGTTCTCATTACTTTGTGCATCAAGAGCCACAAGACATCCACACAGTCAATCAAATAGGGGCACGGAGCAGCCTGAGCCATGAGAACACCCCGAGTTGCGTCACACGGGCTCCTGTTAACACGGGAGAGCCTTGAACATGTCGTGAGCGCCTCAGAGGGGTGCACGGCGAGGGCCCTGGTGCGTGCGTGAAGCCTTTGTGAGCAGCCTTCACACTTTGTTTTTCTCCGGCAAATCCCAGGGGTCCTTTATGTAAAATGAAAACTCGCAACCTCCATTTGCGGAGATGGAGAGCGAAATTAAGGCATCGCATTCAGTAGGCGGCCACATAGAAAGGAGTTCCTATGAACCACTGACAGTAAGTTCTTTGGGAAAGAAAACCTTGGACTTCCTTTGTTGCACTTGGAACAATGGAAGGCGATGCTCACCGATGTCTTCTTGTGAGCTGTCACGTTATTGAAATGAGCGCTTCCCTGACCTTATTTCCAGGGAGCATGCTCCGTGAGTTCCCAGGGGGTGTCCGAGCTGCCTTGATGGGCACCGTTCCTGCTTTTCAAAGCACAGATTTTGAGCAGGTTTAATTCTGGAGCCACTTGCCACAGTTCAACGCAGAGAGCACACGTGCTCTCGGGACCCTTGGAGGAGAACAGTGAGAAAGTTCTGTGCTTCGCTACAAACAGACGAACACTCCGCAAGTGACATTTGAAAGGCACTGAGGTTGAATAACAACCGCTCAGAATAGACTTAGAAACACTTCGCTCCTCATTGCTCTTTCCGTATCTAATTATCCCAGCTATTGTCATGTCAAAAAATGTTCCACGTGACATGCTGTTCCTTCAGTAAGAAAAACTACAAGTCAGAGATGAAGTCTAACTTTCCAAGGGAAATCGAGGCCTGAACAGGTTTGCATGAACATGGGGACTTTATTACCTCCGGCTTTTCTTTTCTTTTCTTTTTTACAAAAAATGTCTTTATTTGTTGCTGGCTCGCCCACTGCCGCTTCATTCCACTTTCTGCAGTGCCTGGGACACTTATTAACAGGTATCTGGGTGCAATCCACAGAGCGGACTCTGTGCCGATGTTCTGAGGGGAGACTGGTGTGGGAATGCATATGGGCAGCCAGGAGAATCCTGAACACCCTGGTCTGTCGTTTTGTAACTGTTCCACCTGCTGACTCTGCCCTCGGGACCAGGTTGCGGCCAGCCCTTGGGAGTTCCAAGGATCTCATCAGAACTTCATGCTCAGCTTCCCTGGTGTGAGTTAAACTCAGCCACACCCTTGAGCCACCTTCATTTGTACCACAGGGCCTTTGCACCTGCTCCACTGCCCGCCTGCAGCGCTCCTCCTGGTCTGTGCATGGCTGGGCCATCTTGTCATTTCCTGGCACCCACCCACCCACGTCCACCGCCGTGCTTTCTCCTTGGCATTTATTACTATTTGTCATTCGTGTTTTCATTTGTCTGTGTGTTAAATCCCAGAATTCCTGATTCAAATGTGAGCTCAGTGCTGCAAAACACCTGTCAGTCTGGTCATGACTGGCCCCGCCTTGACTCTCGTGCTCAACACTGTGTGGCATAGTGGGTGGATTCGGCTTGTCTGAGCCGCCCCTTTGCTTGAATTCTCTGGTCTTGAGCTCCGGGAAATTATGATTTGGTTCCCAAAGGCTGAGTGATCCCGGCCCAGCCCTGGCTTCACCGCCGGTCGGCACGCGGGCTTCCCAGCTCCAGACCTCAGCCTCAGGAGCTGGTGGGGGGAGCCCTGCTCTGACAGCCATCGACTGCCAGGTTGCTCACAGCATTGGAATTGAGGCTGGAGGCTCGGAGTCATAACACTGGCCATGGAGGACTCAGCCAGGAGTAAGTGTTCCCCTTGGTGCATCTGAGGGACCCCCCTGGGTGCCTGCCCCGGCCTCAGACTCCTGCTACTGTTGTATCTTGTTCAGGCTTCAGGCAGATCACTGAGAGTTCCAGGTTTTATGTGTATGGGATACACTACCCTTCTCCTTCCCTGAGAGCCCAGAGCCCATTCGTAAAATCATTCTTCTTTTAGAAAACAAAAACAGGTGTCTTGCAAGAATAAAAAAGAGCAGTACTACATTCCAGGGATTGTCGGTTAGCCAAGTGGCCAAAAGCCACAGGTAGGTGCTTAGCTACACAGGCCCACACCGCTGAGAGCTTGGCAGAACCGCATCTTCTGGAACACATTTTCCACCAGGGGCAGGACCCTCACCCCCATTGCCACGGGGCAGCCTCTGGAAATGTGTGGAGCTTTGGGGGTGCTCACAAACATAGGGAAGCACGACTGGCATGTAGTGGGTGGCAGCCAGGGAGCCTCCTCGACCTGCCCGGTGCTGGACAGGGCCACACGCCCTGACGCCTGTGATTTGGGGGGGAGGGCGCTCGGGTGAACCCTCCCCGCACGAGAGGCACCTGCATTCACGCAGAGCCCAGAGGACGCCAGGGCCTCCGTCGGGCAGGTCAGCCTGTTCCGAGCCCGTCTCCGAAAGCACAGCATCGCGCCATGAGTCACCTGAGACTTACAAGCATGAAGCAAAGGTGCGCTTTATATTAGTGATTCATTTATGGTTTTGAAATTAGGCAATAATTTCCCTCGTGCTTGTTTATGTAACTGCCAGTGAACACTCTTATGAGCCAGGAAGGAGAAAGTTGGGGGAACATGGAGTTCATCTTGT